TATAGACTTACGGTCTTACTGAAGGGCTGTTTTATTAAATGAAGGAGATGTGAGAATGTGCAGTGTTTGTCTGTTTAAACAATTTGTTTCATTATCTGAAATGTGTAAATTACATTCTATTGGGTGATAGCATATTTTTTTACCATCTAAACCTTGGAAGTCGTATCTAGTAGACAAGATCAATTTTCATCAACTCTCTATCCTTATGCCTTGTTGATTTATCTTTCTGTCCCCCTATTTTCTCACTTTAATTTCTCCTATTGTCACTTTTGTAATGTTATATGATTCAATCTTATTAGTGCAACTATTTTTAAAGAATAAAATAGATCACTTAACCTTTCTCTAATTTGCATACTAAAGACACCTGAACCCACTAATTTGCATACCAGTGACTGTGTGAAGAGGTTCACTGCTAATGCTGTTGTGGGCATAAACTAGGATTTGAAGGCATTTGAAGCTTTTGCTCATGAGAAGTTTCATAGCACTGGTTGAGTGAAATTTATAGTGGAGGGAGTTTCAGAGGATACTTGATAGAGGCTAGGCAATTGTTAAACTTTCTGTTGAGCAGTCAACCTGAGAACTTCATGAATCCTGTGATAAGGAAGAACTATAATGCTCTGGACTATAAAAGGGTTGCAACCATTTGTGACAAGTATAAGGACTATGTTGAGGAATATTTGGAAGTCTTGCAAGAAAAAATGCTAAGCATAGCGCCCAGAAGAAATCCATGGACATGCTGAAGACCACACTTCGGGGTTTTAATTGAAAAATCAGAATATATGTATTAGAAAGTAGTATCAAAATTTCCTTTTTATTTTGATTGAAGATAAACAAAATTATTTTATTTTCTGCTTATTATTTAAATTTTATTCAATTTATTGACCTGGACTTTCATGAAAAAAAAAAGACATCTCAACCCAAAGAACTTAACTTCTTGTGTGCTACTTCTCTACATGTGTATCCATAATTATACTATTTTACTTACAGTTTGTTTCACTTATCTACACCGGTGATGGCAGTGACGGATCCAGGAAAGAAGTTTATTGGGGGAAATTGAGTAATAAAAAACATTTATGAAGAACAAAAGTCAGGGGCCCGGTCCTGACATTTTATAGGCCCGGGACAACACAGATACATTAGGCCTTATGAACACGTGTGAGTGTTTATAATCTTTAATAGAAAAACTATACGTGAAATTAATTAGTACAGATTTTACTTGCAATATATATAGAATTTTGAATTAGTGAAAGACTTGAAAGTTATATCATTTATGGAGTAAAAGTTTCATATTTTAAATCATGTTTCCAATAGATCAAAACCAACTGCAAGTTTCTAAATTATGAATATTATAATTCAATCTTTCGATTACACGATAGAACCAAAAGAAATTAGCAATGAATCATGGAATTACATGAGAGAAGTAAATGGAAAGATTAACATTTATGCTTTAACCCTTAATGATTCCAAAGAAATGATGAAGTCTTCCCAAGGAATTCTAGTGTGAAGGTTACAAATTTGTAGACTTCTATCTTGTAGATGTTGTTGAATAAGGAATCGAAAGCATAAAAAAAAATATAAGTTGTATTTATTTTATTTTAATTTTTTATATATCTAACAATATTATAATTGTGAATGAGGGTTGGTACCCTTGATTTATGTCAACATATTCTCTGCTTAAGAACTTGTACAGTGTTAAGAAAAATAGTACCTTACTTTTCACATGACTTGTTCACCCCTTCTACGCCATTAACTAATTTACTTCCGCCAATGTCAATTTTTATTATCATCCGGCTTAATTAAACTCCACCGAATTACCATTGCTTAACTTTAAGTCAAATAAATGGAATTTCTTAAAATCAGCTTAGTAGACATTTCAAATCTTTGATACACAAGTTCATCACTTATGGCGAAGAGTATGGAAGTAATAGTGAGTTCAGGTTTTTCATTTCATCACCAATTGTAATTAGAAGATTACTTTCTATTTTCTCTGTATAGATTAATCAAAGACAGAGTAATAAGGAGTTCAGCTTTAGTTTTTGTGTAAATTCTAATTCATTTTGTTCACGAATTGTAAATTTGGATGCCAATGTTTAATTATATTCTAATTTGGATTTTGCAATTTTGAAGATATTTTAGCGTAGTTTCTGAATATATAGATTTTAATTATTAAAAAATGAATAAATTATCAATAAGAATTAGCATTAGTTGACCAAAAATGTTGACTTTGCAAAGATAAATGACTAATAGAGATTATGTAGCTATGAAAAAAATACTCTGTAGCTAATTAGGAAGTGTGGATTACAAAAAACCAGGCTACCAGTAGGCTGCACAATTTGAGATGAGCGTTTTATGAGTGAAGCAATAATGGATTACAACATGGCAGCCAGACATCAAAATCTAAGCAATTCTTTTATTTTTGAAGCTCTCGCTTGATCCAATTTCCTTCGTGCAATCATTGCTGAATTAGAAACCATAGAAGTATAATAAGAAAAGATTCCTCTTAGCTATGCTAACACAAAAGCAGTAATTGTATGGAACAGAAAGATACAAACAAATACGGAGTAAAATTGATGGACAATGGATTATTAAAAGATGAAACCTGAACTTTCAAATGTGATGAAAGTTTCTTTTGAAGTTCATAGGGTTGAACCGTTGAACATATCTATAAACTATTACAGTACCCTCGAAAGAAATTTTTTTGAACAAGCTGCATTTGGATTAGTTATGAGTGTTCCAGTTAAGGGTCCTTACAAACTTGCTCAGTACAAGTACTAAGTAGAGACGTTTCACATGATCACAGACACTTGGGCACATGTTGAGAAGGTGAGGTCTCTGAACAAGTTATCGGTGGGGGAGGGTGTCCTTTGGTTTGCTTGCTTATGTTGTTTCTTTTCTTAAAAAGTGGAGGCCAATTTTGTTTTAATTTCTTTTATATAAATCTTGATTTTTAGACATTGAAAACTAATCATCATTTATCTTTGATTCACTACTCAACTCATAATAATCTTCTATATCATACTGATCGTTGAGTTTCTGCCCAATGATAAGTTGTTTCGTTTCAGATTTTGAAATCTGTTGTATCATTTTGTTGTTCATTCAAGCACAGTTGTTTTTACTATTAATTCAATAAAAAAGTCAAAATTATAGGTTTCTGGAGCACTTTGCTTTAAATTAGCAGTTTTTACTACGTACTCCGTAAATGGTTTTCACAACAGTGTAACTCGCCATTCTATCCTTTAATAAAAGTCAACGAACACCAAAAACCAGTTTCAGTGTCACAATAGTTGGTCATTGCTTAAAATGAACAAAAACAGAAAACTCACAATCACCTCATACCTCATCGGAGCCCCTCAGCCAATGTTGTTGTTTTCAACATTGATCTGTGAATTAAGAAACTATCTTGCCAAAGTAAGTACTTTTGTTTTAGTATCAATATATTAGTTACTTCGTATTTTCCAATACAAATTAGGAGTCATATTAGAGGAAAATCTAGAATTGAGAAAAGATAAAGCTATGCTTAAGGAGAGCTGCTTCTAAAAACTTGCACGGCCTTAGTTATTAGTCGGGGTAAAACAGTAGGTAATAGTTAGTTAAGCATTAAGCACAAACTCATAACTTACTAGATTGAATGAAGAAATAATTGATGAGACAATTTACAAAAATATTAGAAAGGCATACACTATTAAAAAACACTTATTATAATCTCACATATAATAGGACCACCCATACATAATTAAAAATTTAAAATGGTTATTCAAAAAACATATGTAGTATTAATGTAATATTAGGCAAAATTCTCGCGCCTTGTGCGATCGAACGCTAGTAATGTACTATCCTCCGTTCTCTTTTAATTGCAACATTGGACTTTTTGCACTATTCACATACTCTACTTTGACTATTTTTTATTCATTAATGTATTATAAATTAATTTTTAAAAAAATATTTTTAAATTCTTCTCATTCTAAATTTTCAAAATATGAATTTTTTGAATTTTTTACTAATAAGGAATGAAAGATATTAATGGTCAAACTTGTGCGTTGGCAAATGTGAAATGTTGACTGTTGCAATTAAAAGGGAACGGAGGAAGTATATATATTTAAAATACACATGTATATATATAGAATTGGGAAATTTATGGGCCCTATGGGAGCAATGGGCCCTGGGCGCATGCCCCTTTGCCCATGCTCCAGGACCGGCCCTGACAAAAGTTAATAAAGTACTACTTCATATTAACTCCGTATTACTCTGTATCATAAAGATAACAAAAGTTTAATACTCCCTCCGTATTTTAAGATCACTACATTAGGTCTTAGACATAATATGTAACTGGGTGATAGTAGGAAAATGAATAGTGTACTGTAGAAAAAGTAGGAGACAAAGTGAAAAAGTAGGAAAGAGAAGATACAAAGTTGAAAAAGTAAAGGTAAATTTTACTTGGATATTTTAGTCTCAGACCAAATCAGATCAAACTTCCATGGTTATAAAATACTTAGAGACCAGATATTTGTTAGACCACATAAAACCAAACTTAAACAAGACATGACTAGAATATCAAATTTCAATTCAAATAAAAACATTCTAATTCATTTGTTCATTGAATCTTACCATAATGAATTAATACACAGTAAAACCATGATAACATTATTATATTCTGTCATTTAGAATATAATATTAATTTTCTAAAACTATGGCTTAGAAAATGTAAATTATGATAGGTGATGCCGTGATGGGACCTGAATTAGGTGCATGCAGATTACTTAACATTCACAGTGGGCAGAAATATATTTTTTTTAATTAATTTAGAATAGAAAATGAAGGTATGATCCCCTCTTACCCTCTACATCTCCAACTTATCATAATCATTTCATTATTTTACGTACTTCCACGCAAAAGATACTTACATTTATACTTTCATTAAAGGGAAAAGTGTCAAATAAGTCCATATACTATTGTGAAAAAATCAATTGAGTCCACCTAGTTTTTATTCAATCAATTAAGTCCTCTAACTCTCAAATTTAACCAATCTTTCCATTTAAGCGGTTACCAACCGGTAACCCTCCCATATTGATGAAGTGGAAGCCACCTGGACATTTTTTTAATTATTTTCATTTTTCTTTTCTTTTATCTTTTTCTCTTAATTATTTCCCCCTTTCTCAGGTTCGTGACAGCCCCTGGTTCCCCCTTTCTTCTCCCCCTTTTTCTTCTTGTCTTTTTCTGTACTCCATCTTTCCCGTCTCTCCCTGTGGCATGTACAGACCTCCTTCCATTTTTCTCCCCCCCCCCTCCCATCTCTCTCTGCAACACTTCCCCTTCCTTTTCCGTTTTGTCTTTTTCATCATCCTCCCTAGTTCCTCCCTCCCCTCTCTCACCAGACACCAAGTCAGGCAGTCACCATGCGGTACTTCCCTTTCTTTTCTCCCCCCTCCTTTATCCCGTTTCTTTCTTGTTAATTCGATGGTTTATTCCTTTCCATTCTTCTCCGTTGGAACCTGGATTGCGGCCTTCGAAATCGAAGAGATCTTCCATCTGCAAAATCGAGTCTTAATCGACGGCGGACGGCGGCAGCGCGTGATAGGAAAGCAGGGGAAGAGAATTAAATCGGAAAAGAAAAGAAAACGAAATGGAAAAGAAAGAAAGAAAGAAAGAAGTCATTGCTAAGTCCATGGAAGAGGGAAGAGAAAGAATGTAAGAAACCGGAAGAGAGAAAAACGGGAAAATAAATGGAAAAGAAAGAAGAAAGAAGAAAGAAGCCATTATTAAGGGCAGGGAAGAGGGAAGAGAAAAAACGGGAAAATAAAGAAAGTAAAAAGAAGATAGAGAAAAGGCCACATGTACCTCCACATCAGCAACCACAGGTTCTTCTCATCCACCCCGGCTAAAAAGCCGACTAAATTTTAATAGTTAGTGAACTTAATTGATTCATTTTAATGTATGTGGACTCAATTGACTTTTTTTTTTCAAATTCATAATTATGTAGTACGGAGTATTAAAAAAATACTATAGAGCTCTTCTAAAACCAACTTTTAGCATGACGGCGTGGATAATAAATAGACAGGAAATTGAACATCATGGAAGTAAAGTTTCCTTCATAAAATTGTTTTAAAGATGACCTTTGATGAAAAAGATCTTGAAAACACATGTGATAGCTGAGATCTCATTATTGTTTTATGCGTGACAATGAAACTCCTAGATATTGCCTTGATAAGTATTTCCATGAATTATTTCACCCTGCCTATTCAAAATAAAGAAATTTCGTAAATATAATCTAAAAATAAGTGAAGAATCTGTGAAATAATGTTGTCTTTCTAGAATTAAAAAATTCAATCGACCGAACATATGGTGCACGTTTACAGTATAACCTCAAAATCATGAAAAATCCAATCCAATGGATTTTGTTGAGGACATGGTTTCTTGCGCGGCAGAAAAAATTCGCAACATCATTAAGCTTTTATTTCTTGCAGTAACTTCATAATTTTAACCGGACAATGAATGAAATTTGATGCTAAAGTTAGTGTTTTATATACACTTATTATACAGCATCACCAGTCGGTTATCCATGAGAGAGTGGCCTATGAACGTGGAATTGATTTTCAAAACTGCAGAAAAATTGCTTTGTAAATGCTTTAAACTGCCACATCTAATATACACGTGATGCAAGACACCAACAATTTTTCGGCAAAATAGACCTGGCGGGAACAGTTATTGGACTGACGGTCCCCTTTTTATATATAAAGATTGTATACAAACAGCACATCCAAAACTTGAAGCATAAATCAGCCACTGAATAGAATAGACTAAACTAGATCAGACTTGGAGAGATATAAAATACGGATTACAAAGTAACCAGATCTAAAAAGAAAACAAGGATTACTTTAAGGTAATGTTTAAAAAAATAAAAGTCGAATCATAAGATGAAATGATACTCCGTATAAAACAACGATTTTGTTAACACAATGAGCAATTTTTCATATACAAAGTGAGAAAAATTAAAGTAACCAGATCACTTTAAGAAGTACAAAGTGAGAATTATTAAGTCACCCACTTTATGATAGGTAATGTTCAAGCCTTTATATATTCAAATTGGAACAAATTTAAATAATTCATAACAATTAGAGCAGATTTAAATGTTTTTAAAACACACGAGGTATGTTTGGCAAATGACTTATCAGCCAGCTTTTAACTTGTTTGACCCATTTCAGTTGTTTGCTTTGTCAAAGAAGCTAATAATAATGTTTGGTAAATGGCTTTTAAAATTAGTTTGTTGGGTTTGAAAAAATTGAAAAAATGGATTGTTGAAGAATCTAAGGGGAACAGCTTCTTCATTCGACTGGATAGGTCAATTTACACTCTGCCGGTCAAAACAGCTAAGTAGCTAACACAATCAGCTGTTAGGAAACAACTGACACAACCAGCTAACATCAACGGCTAACATCAACGGCCAATTTAAATTAAATAAAAGACATGCTCACTCTATTTGCGTCTAAGAGTGTTGGCGTCTTGCCATTCCTTAAACTTATCCGCCAGACTTCCACGTGCATAATTCGCACCAATTACGGAGCCTATTTAATGCAACAGTAATATAGCATTTAAATAATCTCGTTGTTGTCGTACGGTTTTTTAATTATATATCTACTTTCAATTTTAAATAAATCTAAGAAGTAAGAACTATTCATAACACATTTTTACTGTGATAATTTAATTTGGTCAATATAGGAATTATCCTTATTTTCCAGTTCCACCCACTCATTTTTATTTTCTAAAAATTAAAATTTCTATGTTATCCCTAACAAAAAAAATTCTGAACAAATCTCTAGCCACAAATTTTCATTTCTTAAACCTTTTGTTTCATCGAAGTGGAGTTTAGGGAGTGTCTTCATTTTCATATCAGGTGCTGCACTTGTCGGTTGCTCACTGAAGTTCGAATTAATCTTTTCATTTTCAAGTGTTCTACGTTGAAATCCATCGACACTTCAATGTTATTCATCTTTAATAGAAACCTTGAGCGTTTATATTGGTCTCTTAAATGTATCATTTTGTAGGGTTCAAATTCACATGATTCCAATTTCATTGAAATCCATTAAAATGTGATAAAATCCATGATTTTAAGATGGGTGAGATAATTCCCAAAATAAGAGAAAAAACATTTTGAAATTTCAAATGTCTTGTTTGGTTTCTACTTAAATTTTCAATTTAACTAGGTATATCACATAACTATTTTATGGAGTATCTTAATTATTAAGATAATTTTTTTAAAGGAAAATTCGCTTATATTAATATCATTATAATGAACTCAAAGATACCAACACTCACAACAATATTCCTACCTAACTAGCACTATCAATCTCGCGACTATGCTTAGAAACAATCATCTTTGAAAGTCTAATACGAATCGCTAGCCACTAAACGGGTGCGACACAGCAATCACTGACCTGGTCATATAGATCCTTCTAATGACATAACATTTAGCAGAATTTTTCAATCATTATTGTGGACCTAAAACAAAAAAACATCAACAAAAAATAGATCCTTCTAATGACATAACATTTAGCAGAATTTTTCAATCATTATTGTAGACCTAAAACAAAAAACATCAACAAAAAACAGACCAACGTAAACAAACGAACATAACGTAAAAAAAAGACCATAAAAAGTAAAAAAAACTTATAATTACTCTAAACTTTTTCCTGTCAGTTTTAGTGAAATATCATCTTCCAAACCATTCCTTTTTTCTAACACATAGTGAGATGGTATTGACGAAATTGCTGCTAGGATTCTAGAAGCCGAAGGCGTACCCAAATCAGAATTGCTACTGGTACTCCAAACATACCCCCATTTTTTACCACATATAAAAACCCACCCCCACTTTTCTTCTCTCCTCCTACCCTCTCTCCTTCTTTTCACGCACCCCCCACACCCCCTCCCCTTCCTTTCTCTTTTCTCCAAATCTTGTTTTCTTCCCCATTTCAAGATCTCCCCCCTTCATTAATACTTCTCATTTTTTTCCCATCTTTCCCCCCTCCAAGCTTCTTCTAATGCTTCTCTCCTCTTCTGTCTTTTTTTATTCATTTCAAATGCACAAGCTACAGTAATCGGACGAACGGGGAGAGCTCCGGTGATGTTGGATACATGGGGAGACAACAATGAAGGTGTAGACCAAGAAGCTTTGAATGACTTGAGTGGATCTTCCTTTCTTGATTTTTTGGTGTTTTTTCGAAATTAAAAGGGTTGTCTGTCTGACAGACAATTTGTAAGTGCAGTGTCTGTCTGTCTGTAATTGATGGTTAATTGTTTTTCATTTAAGTTGAGTTGTCTGTATTTGTTTTGAGTTGTCTGTATTTGTTTTGAGTTGTCTGTATGTAATTTGTGATGTTTATTTTTTGAGATGTAATTAGTATAACGAGACAGACATTAAATATACACATACAGACATAAGTATACACATACAGACATTAGTTTATTGTGAATTACCATTTTGACATATGTTTCATAAAAAAACAGACGATACATATAACTAGACAGACAATAAAGATAACAAGGCAGACATTATTTTTCACCACAAATTACTTACAACTCACAATGAAATGACAAACAACTAAATATGAGTTACAGACAACTTCACGACTTTTACAGACACCTCACAACAACATGGCAGACAAGTCATTACAGACAACTCAAAACAAATACAGACAACTATAAACAAATGACAAACAATTAAATATCAATTACAGACATTTATTTTTCAAAGGACAGACAACTTCACGACTCTTACAGACACTGCACTTTCAAGTTGTCTGGCAGACATACAACCCCTTTTATTTCCAAAATACATCAAAAATCAAGAAAACAAAATCAAGAAAAGAAGATATGTTGCTCAAGTTATTCAAAGCTTCTTGGTATGTCTTCATTGTTGTCTTCCCTTGAGGTTGCATCTGAAATGGCAACCGACATAGGTCCGCCGTTGGCAACCGGCGTAGGGCCGCCGTCGGCAAGGTCACCGGTGGAAGAGGGGATAAGCAAGAGAAGATCGGAGGTTGGAGGGGGGTGATGATAAAAATGGGAAGTTTTAAAGAAGGAGAAAGATATTGAAATGGAGAAGAAAGGGGAAGGGAGGGGGGGTGCGTGAAAAAGAGGAGAGGGAGGGAGGGAGGGAGGAAGAGAGGTGGGGGTGCAGGAGAGAGGGAAGAGGGGAGAAGAAAAGTGGGGGTGTGTTTTTATATGGGGTACAAATGGGGTAGGGTTTGGGGTACCTATAGCAAAATTCTACCCAAATAAGGATAAGTAGAGTTTTATATAAAAGAGAATCATGCCCAGTCCCATTAGCTATAAAGTTTGTGATCATAAAGTCAAGTTAGCATTGATCATAGATCGGTATGCGAGCCAAAGAGAAAGAGAAACTGCCCCGGGCCCGAGGTTCTTTTCTAGATAGAACTAATGAGGCATCAACGGAAGGATTCGGCGAAAAAAAGAACTAGAGAGACAAGTGAATATTTCATAGAGGCTTTCGATCCCGTTGTTCACACGTCGATGAACCAAGAGATCATGTCTCTCACGAGGAGGCGTAAATAAATCTACCGTAGAAACACCTTGATCGCTCCCGGGCGGCGCTTCATGATAGGGACAGACTTTCAATTCGTCTTCTTTCTCGCTTAGAACTCAATCTAGAAATTGCCTCAGTCGAGCACCCCAATCGCCTCCACCATAAGGTGAAATCCTTTCAAACATAACCCAATCCAGTCGCCCCATCCATTTGTCCCCTACGCCCAACACAGTCCCAACCGTGCTCCTCCAACGATCAAGCCAGACGGAAGTGACCAGACAATTGTCTAATTGTATACAACTATACAAGTATATGTATCAACATCACAGACCTCCAAGTTCGATCCATATTAGCACGTCCAGAAGAATAAATCATAAAGAAGCAGATCATGGAGATGCAGAACGTGATAACGGCCGCCATCACACTGTCAGTCTAAATCATTTGTCGAACAAGAACTGCGCAAGCCGCATGCCGAAAAAACAAACTCTAGACGAAAACTAGGAAGAAGACTACTTATTATAAATATAAATGTTAAAATTTTGCATTCTATTGTTATAGAATTGATATCATATATATACTAATGGAGGACCTGGTCCGGGGCCTACCGGGGTAAGTGCCTCGGCTTCCGACCAGGAATTTCACTATTAGTACTTAGGGTAAAAAAGGTGCCCCTACTTCCTGCCAAAAATTTCACTACTACTACTTCGCGTGAATTTAGTGCCCCAACCCGTACAAAAAATTATTAGTATTAGATAATCAAGATACTAAAATGTTACGGTTATATAAATAAACAATTAATACACAATATGTAAATGTTAGTTGAATTAAAATAAAATATATAGAATTCTCAAATAAGGAGAAAAAGTAGTCAAAGGTTAATATACGGGTAATACAGCCAACTAAAAGTAACAAGTAGTAAAAGTTTAAAAAACAAGTTGAAGGGCCCAAAAAACTATTAGTATTATTTCAGCCCAAAGCCCAAATTTACATTCCTTCTAGGCTTCTAGCACCTAACTTCAAGCTAGATTGACCGAACAAGTATTATTTCAGCGCAATTCAGCAATTGACCGCACGAGAAATCAGAAGGCCAGGCTCGCTGCTCGCAAGTCGCGCCAGTCTCGCAAATCAAAAGGCCAGACCTCGCAGTCTCGCGCCAACGCCAAGCTCAAAGTTCACAATTCTTTTCACTTGGTATATCGTCCGATTGAGTTGGTTTTAGTATTACCAGTTGCAATAGCCACCGTTGAATGAGCCTTCTCTGCAATGAATATTATCAAGACAGATCTTCACAATAAGATGAGAGATGATTATCTTACAGATTGCTTGATGTGCTACATCGAGAGAGATGTTTTTAGGAGTATTGATAATGAAACTATTATGCAACATTTTCAGAATATGAAAATTCATAGGTTTTATTTACCAAAGTTGCAGAAATGAACTATTTAATATGTAATTAACTACTATGTATAATTTATGACATTGCCTTACATTTTACCATCTTTAGTACATTTGAAATTTTTATTATAGAGTAAGTTTAGTGTCTAGTGTACCCCTGCTTTGACAAATCTCTGGGTCCGCCACTGTACGTACGTCGTAGTAGCTTAGTACGGAGTATTAAACTAATGAGTTTTTTATTTTTATTATTTTGCTCAAACCAAACAATTAATACTACGTACCATTTATTTACTTTCTTGGACTAGAAGCTAAGTATTCAATAAGAACTCAAACAATATGGGGGCAGCTGCCCCCAATAAACTCCAAATAATCCCCTATATTATAGTAGAAAAAAGTTTATTACATAGAATTGCCCCCGATAAGAAAATACAAATGCCCCCACCTAACTCCACCGAGCCCAAAGCAAAACGATATGCTCCGTCTACATAAGCCCAATGCCCCCCTAAAATAATGCCCTATACTTCTTATGCTTAAGGTTTGGTAAACAAGGAAGTAAAGGAAGTGTAATATCGAGTATTAAGGATTACTAAAGTCATATAAAATAATACATACGTAGTATAATTTTTACATATTTGTCACTCTTTGAGAAGGTTTTAAGATATAGTAAGAGACAAATTAAGACAGCCATATAAAATATAGAGCCTGTTTGGTGAACCTATTTTTCGTCTTATCGGTCTTATTAGCCAACTTTTTTACTAAACACATAACTATTGATTTCGCGTGTTGAATGATGTAATAATCATGATAAGTAGGGTTGAACTTACTTTTCTGGCTAGATTGACTGAAGTTATTGTAGACAATCATTTTAGTTATAATTTATATAACTTTTTTGTCATTATATTAATAAAATGCTCGTATATTTTTTTTCCATAAATTTGCGGAATTGGCTAATCTAGCCACTTCAGCCAGAACTTCATAAATTTCAGTAGAATCAACTGATTCAGTTAATTTAAATCTTACCAAACGGGCTCATAATTTTTATATACATACCACTCTAGGAGATGGTTAAGATATATAAAGACAAAAAAGTACATCAGTTATCAAAGAGTTAATTACACTTTTTAGCTTTTTTTATATTGTAATATACTTTGTTTAGTTATGAAATTTGGGTGAATTTTGTTTACTATTCAAGTATATTTGGTCATGTTTTTCATGCACGCCATTTTTGTTCTGCCCCCAATAGCTGCGTTTTCTGGATCCGCCACTGTAATCACTACCTTTTATATACTTTCTTGGGTTGAGCTATGTATACAGAAAATGTGTACACCTTTTTTGTATACTTGTCTGTCCCCCGCAGACAAGTTGTCTGTTCACAGACAAATCTACAGACTTGTCTGTGGACAGACAACTTGTCCACGGGGGCAGACAAATGTACAAAAAAGGTGTACACATTTTGTGTACACCACGCATTATTTTTCCGCCTTCTTGAACTTGAAATTATCATACGGAGTAATACTTTCACCGATTTTCTTCGTGAGGCAACACGTCCGGCGGTGTTGTGTGCTCGGGTCCGGTGCCGGACGGCCGTAGTTATCCAGTGAGTTTGGGCCTAAACCGCAAATACAAACTTCCGATTGCTTAAGAAGGACTATGACCTAGAAGCGTTTTTATATATTTTCACGTTTCCAACACATTTTGTTGGTTTGTTACCTAATTTCTTGTCTTGTTGCAGTACATAATACGAAGTATGTAGTACTAGCTATTATATTATTATTACTTCAGTAAAACATAGGGAGTAATTGTTATTGTGCTTGTCATTATATTACCATTCAATTTTTAAAGTATGAACGAGTCAAGATTATATTGTTATTGTGAATTTCAATAGAACACCATACGAATTATTTGTAAAAACGAGTAAAATGACTACTAATGTTAATTTCTTATTTAACTCTGATAATTTGACATATAAATATAATTCATCTCGGTTTTAAAATTCTCAATTATTTAGAAGTAAATTGATTCGATCATTGCTAACAAACTTTTCTTTTCTCTATCTCTTGCATATCAAGAACTCATCATATCTCGTTGGACAATTTGAATATCAATATAAAATATAGTCTTACAAACTTCTATAAATGTTCTTCCAAAGTATCACCACTCCTGGCAATTTTTATTATTGATACCACGCATTCAAAATAGGACGTAATAATGGAAGTATTAATAGGAGGAGGTACTGAAGTCAATATATAGTTATGCACTTATGCTTATATTAAATTATACATAGATAAGATGTGAGCTGTAAAACGTAGAATTAATAGTCTTCGAGGGTTTATCCTAGCACACACTTTTATTTGGGAGCCGGCATTTTATAAATATTTAATGCTCATTAGCTCATGAGTCATGCCATGGTATAGTATGATATTTAATACCCTTTCCGTTCTTTATTAATTGTTCCTACGTATTTTATTAATTGTCTCATATTTTTTTGGAACGTTTTTTATTGTTTGTTTCTCTTTCATTTTTTGATAAGTTTTTTCGATCAAAATACATTTATACCCTCATTTTTATTACCATGACCCATTTCTCTTTTCTACTTTTTTTATTTACCCACAACTCACTACACTTTTTAAACCATCCATATTATTTTCTTCATAAAACCCGTGCCAAAATTAAGAGGACAATTAGTAAAGAATGGAGGGAGTATCTTTCCTCATGAAGCAATACTAGTACCATCACCCATGAATGTATTATGTAGGGGCCGTTTGGAACCAGCTGGACCAGCTGTTTGGGCTGAAAAGTATGAAAAGACTAAATATGCTGAAATGAAAGTGATTGGTAATATTCTGTCTGGAATGGCTGATTGAATGTAAAATTACCATTAATGGTATTTGCTTATTTGTATTAAATATATGGTGTGCACTTTAGTAGCTAGTAAACATATTTTTGCGTGATTAGGTAATTACGAAGTATTAATTAATTGATAACTTTGGAAATTTTCTTCCTCTTTTGTCAAATTTTATATTGTTTATACAAGTACTTTTCAAAGACTACGTATTTTCCAATGAGCAACATTAGTACTTTTTTATGACTAATATGCGTAAATTAATATTAAAAAATATACACATAAGTATCTTAACATAAAATAAAAATTAAGCATAAAATACACATAAGTATCCATTGGAGTTCATTTAAAAAATAAATGAAACACAAAATACATAAAAAGTAGTAACATTATTTCATCGCAAATTTTTATGTCTGAAAATAAGTTTAGGAAAGGAAATGTGTAATAGAACACATGCACTCGTCATATACTATCAACGACGTTGCCTCATATTACGCGCCAAATTTTCGGTAATTTCATCTCGAAATGCAATCATACGTGCAGAGCTTAGACCGTGAACCTCATTTGAAGACCTTTCGGTGGATTCTTGTACGTGTTGGTGGAGTAATGCGATCTTGAGGAACAAAATCAAGGTTTGTCTCAAAACAAAGAAAAGCAGGATCGTCATGACAATATCGACGGATGAAATTATGTAGCGCCATGGTAGCTAGCTAAGATTATTTTGACCTGCACCTTAAAAGGATAAGAAGGCATGAATCTAAGGATACGCCACCTTGCCTTCCATACACCAAATGTTCGCTCAATGCAACTACGCAACGATGAATGCTTTTTGTTGAAGAGTTCTTTTCCTGAGTTTGGTCTCTCTCCATTGAAAGAAGATGGATGATATCTCATATTGCGGTGTGGCGGCAAAAAAAATTCTTGAATAGAGTACCCCGCATCTACCAAATAGTATTTACCTAATTAAATAAAAATTGAATAATTAGCTCTACTAAAAAGTTATATCACAATCTTCTTTTTTTAGCAAAATGACACAAATTTAAAACATACCAAGTGGGGGATTGGGAAATCCCAAACTAGGATTCTCTAGTGTCTCTCGTAGTATTCTAGCATCATGAGCTGATCCTTCCCATCCCAGAACGGCAAATGTAAATTGAAGATCAAAGCTACAAGCTGCCATGATGTTTTGGCTAATAAATCCTTTACGATTGTACCACATATCTTTTTTCTCTTCAAATATAACTGCTAGAACATGAGTTAAGTTTCATTACATTAATCGAGCTATACTATTTACTCACCACACCTAAAACAGTTCAAATGTTACGATTAGGCAAAGATAAACGATAAATTAAGAGCAAGAACACAAGAATTAACGTGGTTCACGCAATCGGGGTGATTACGCTAGTCCACGGCGAACGAGAGAGAGGATGTGTATTATTATGTCTGCGTCAGGGTTTACACGTACATTAGAGATGTTTAAATAGGTTTAAGGAAACCTAATCACAATTAAGAGCCGCAGGCCCGAAAGCTAAGCCCGAAATAAAAAAAATTCCGCCGACCCGGTCGGGTCCGACTTTTGACCCGGTCGGGTCTCCTTCACAGAACATAAACCCGGGTAGAACCAGGTCGGGTTTCCAAAACAGAAGGCTTCTGCCTTGCTGACCCGGTCGGGTCCCTTCCCTGACCCGGTCGGGTCTCACGTCCAGTGAGATCCCCCGGTCTCTGCTTCAACATACCCGGTCGGGTGGCCAACCATACCCGGTCGGGTATCTGCTCTGAACCTAAGAACAAGACTCCATCTTCAACAATCTCCCACTTGGAGGCTTGTTCAACAATTATCTGCCATCCAAGAACATGTATCTTCTGTAAAACCCCTGATCTCTTCTCTCTCTCTCTCTCGTTCACGCCTTCTCATCAAGTATCTGGAAGGCCCGTTGAAGCCATGCATAGCTTCAACTTCTCGGTAGTCACTGCCTTGGTAAGCATGTCTGCTGGATTCTTCGTACCAAGGATCTTCTTCAAATTTATAGTACCATCTTCAATCAACTCCCGGATGAAATGATACCGCATCTTGATGTGTTTCGTTCTGCTATGAAACACCGGATTCTTCGTGAGATGAATAGCACTCTGGTTGTCACAGTACAGACCACAATCCCCCTGTTTCATGCCCAACTCCGAAAGAAAGTTCTTCAACCAAATCATCTCCTTGGCCGCTTCAGCAATAGCCATATATTCTGCTTCTGTGGTTGAAAGAGCTACACTCTTTTGTAATCTGGACATCCAACTGATTGCCGTACCTCCAATAGTGAATATGTAACCCGTAGTGCTCTTCCCGGAATCATGACAGCCCCCCAAATCAGCATCTGCAAAACCTTCTAGAATTGCCCCATTCCTCCTGAAACAAAGAGCAGTTCTAGAGGTGCCTTTCAAGTAGCGTAGCAGCCACTTGACCCCTTCCCAATGTTCCTTCCTTGGATTTGACATAAACCTGCTAACAACTCCCACTGCATGAGCAATGTCTGGCCTTGTTGACACCATCGCATACATCAAACTGCCAACTGCTGATGCATAAGGAACTTTAGCCATCTCATCTTTGTCTTCATCGGTCTTCGGAGACTGTTGCTTGGAGAGTTTCAACTGACTCCCTAACGGTGTACTCCTTGGCTTGGCATCCGTCATTCTGAACTTCTCAAGGACCTTCTGAATGTACCTCTGCTGTGAAAGCTTTAAAGTACCTTCCACCTTGTCTCTGACTATGCTCATCCCAAGAATCTGTCTCGCCTCCCCTAAATCCTTCATCTCAAATTCTTCAGACAACTTCTTCTTGAGCTTGTTGATCTCCTGCATGTTTGCTCCAGCCACCAACATGTCATTAACATACAAAAGAAGAATAATGTATGAAGACTCGAATTTCTTCAAGTAACAGCAATGGTCCATCTTGCATCTAGTGTACCCATTCCGCTGCATAAAACTGTCAAACTTCAAGTACCACTGTCTAGGAGCTTGCTTCAGCCCGTATAGACTCTTCTTGAGTTTGCACACCATCTTCTCTTTACCACTCACTGGGAAGCCTGCTGGTTGGGCCATGTAAATGTCTTCTTCAAGGTCACCATGAAGAAAAGCAGTCTTCACATCCAGCTGCTCCAAATGCAAATTTTCAGCAGCAACGATACCAAGGATCAACCTGATAGTAGTCATCTTCACAACCGGAGAGAAGATTTCATTGTAATCAACCCCTTTCTTCTGTTGGAACCCCTTGACAACTAGCCTCGCCTTGTATCTTTTGCTCCCATCAGCTTCATCTTTGATTCTGAACACCCACTTGTTCTCCAAAGCTTTCTTTCCCGGTGGTAGCTTGACTAAGGACCAAGTTTGGTTCTTCTCAAGCGAATCTATCTCATCCTCCATGGCATTCTTCCACTGTATGGAATCTTTCATGGTCAGCGCCTCTGAGTAAGATTCTGGTTCTCCATTCTCGGTCAGCAACAAATAATTTGCTGAAGGAGAATATCTGTTAGGAGGTCTTCTGATTCTGGTGGACTGTCTGACTTGAGGAGTAGCTGCCTCTGAATTTTCACCATCTTCATCACTCCCACTATCTTCAGACATCCCTGTATCTCCTGAGCTCCCACTGCTCCCTGAACCTCCAGTCATCTCATCACAACCAGCAGGTTGTGCTATGTCGTCTTCAGTCATCCCGTCAAACACCACTTGTTGCTTGTTTTCTGGTTGCTTGGCTTTACTAGTTTCAGCTGCAAGACCATCTTTATACAGGGCATTCTCGTTGAAAGTGACATCTCTACTTCTGATAACCTTCTTGCTGTGGTTGTCCCAGAACCTGTAGCCCATGTCATCCATCCCGTACCCAATAAAGATACACTTCTTTGCCTTTGCCTCAAGCTTGTCACTATCTGCATCTCTAACTTTGACATAAGAAATACAACCAAAAACTTTCAAGTGAGTAAGGGATACCTCTCGACCTTTCCATTCCTCTTCTGGAATTTTGAAACCTATGGGAGATGAGGGTCCTCTGTTGATCAAGTATGCTGCTGTGTTCACCGCATCGGCCCAGAACATCTTTGGAAGTCCTGCATGCAATCTCATGCTCCTGGCCCTCTCATTCAGTGTTCTGTTCATCCTCTCTGCAACACCATTTTGCTGTGGTGTTTCTGGAACCGTCTTCAGCATTCTGATCCCCTGTTCAGCACAATACTCTACAAACTCTGTGCTACTGTACTCACCCCCATTATCACTCTTTAAACACTTAATCTTAAGATTCGTTTCATTCTCTACTGCAGCTTTGAACTTCTTAAAAGTGTTAAAGACTTCAGATTTATTTTTAAGAAAATAAACCCATACCTTCCGTGTAGAGTCATCAATGAATGTGACATAGTAACGGGAACCTCCAATCGAAGAGACCTTTGTAGGTCCGTAGACATCTGAATGAATCAACTCCAGTCGCTCAATCTTGGGTTGCTGCCCTGTCTTCACAAAGGTTACCCTCTTTTGTTTGCCTAGAACACATGGCTCACAAAAGCTCAACTTTGAATTCTTCAAATCTGGGATTTTGCCCTTTGAAGACAGCATCTTCATTCCGTTCTCACTTATGTGCCCAAGTCTTTGGTGCCACAAAGTAGAGACCCCTGTATCTTCAACTGCTGCGTTTGCCCCATCTGTGGACACTTCAACCATGTACAGTGTACCGTGCTTCTGCCCACGAGCAATGACCAGCTTTCCCTTTGTCACCTTCCATTGCTTGTTGCCAAAACTAACGTTATGGCCTTCCTCATCAAGCTGTCCAACTGAGATCAACATCTTCTTCAGGTCTGGAATATATCTCACATCTTTCAGCCTCCAGGTTGTACCCAAAGAGGTACTGAGATCAACATCTCCAATACCCGTGATCTCCAGGGATTTGTCATCTGCCAAACGAACTCTTCCGCTGTAGGGCCTGAAATTTTTCATCAAATCCCTGCAATGACAAGCATGAAACGACGCACCTGAATCCATGATCCAGGACTCAACTGAATTCTCAACGCTGCAAATTAGAACATCTTCATAATCCTCTGCCACGTTCACCTCCTTCTTGCCTTTGTCTGCAGGGGGTTTTGGGCACTGATTTCTGAAGTGTCCATTCTCTTTGCAATTCCAACAATTGATGTCCTTCCGGTTCTTGGATTGCCCTCTCTTTCTCGACTTCGATCTTCCCTTCTTGTTACCTCCTCTAGTGGATTTTCTGCCCCTATCTTCAGTACTCAACAAACTGTTGGAGCTATCCCCCGAACTCCTCCTCCGGATATCCTCACCAAGGATTAAGTCACGAATACCTTCAAAGGTAAGCTTAGTGGTTCCAGATGAACTACTAACCGCTGTGACTGTACCGGACCAACTATCGGGCAAAGATGATAACAAAAGTAACGCTTGGACTTCATCATCGAATTTAATCTCAACCGAGCCTAACCTGGATATGATTGGATTAAACTCGTTGATGTGATCTGTCACGGATGCACCTTCCTTCATTCTTGTATTCACCAACTGTCTAATCAAGAAAACCTTGTTTGCTGCTAAGGGTTTCTCATACATGTTGGATAACGCCTTGAGCAGTCCATATGTTGTCTTCTCGTTAACGATGTTGTAGGCAACGTTCTTCGCCAACGACAACCTCACCACACCAAGAGCTTGTCGATCCAACAAATTCCATTCTGCTTCCGTCATCGTTTCTGGTTTGTTCTCAGACAACGGTTGATAAAGCTTTTTCTGGTAGAGATAATCCTCGATCTGCATCTTCCAGAAAGCGAAATCTTGACCATCAAATTTATCGATCTTAACCTTCCCTTCGTCAGCCATAGCTCTGATACCAATTGTTACAATTAGGCAAAGATAAACGATAAATTAAGAGCAAGAACACAAGAATTAACGTGGTTCACGCAATCGGGGTGATTACGCTAGTCCACGGCGAACGAGAGAGAGGATGTGTATTATTATGTCTGCGTCAGGGTTTACACGTACATTAGAGATGTTTAAATAGGTTTAAGGAAACCTAATCACAATTAAGAGCCGCAGGCCCGAAAGCTAAGCCCGAAATAAAAAATTTTCCGCCGACCCGGTCGGGTCCGACTTTTGACCCGGTCGGGTCTCCTTCACAGAACATAAACCCGGGTAGAACCAGGTCGGGTTTCCAAAACAGAAGGCTTCTGCCTTGCTGACCCGATCGGGTCCCTTCCCTGACCCGGTCGGGTCTCACGTCCAGTGAGATCCCCCGGTCTCTGCTTCAACATACCCGGTCGGGTGGCCAACCATACCCGGTCGGGTATCTGCTCTGAACCTAAGAACAAGACTCCATCTTCAACATCAAACATATCAGTGAACAAGTTTCATTAAAATTTAAGTTGAATGAACTTCACTAATATGAGGAACTGCTTAATATGATGGACGAACTTAAATATCAGCGAATAGTTTCATTAAAGCTTTAAATTCTTTCAAGCTAATATGTACGGAGTAGCAAAGATGACAAAATATATCTAAAAAATCTGATGGATCTACGAACAATTTAAGAAGAAGAAGAAGAGCAGCGCAGCTTACCTTTAATAGGCCAAAGTTGAACGAGAAGGTGTCGATAAGGGATTTGGAAGGAGTGGAGCAGATGAAACTAGGAGGTCGATCCAGGAGTGGTAGAAGACTACTGCGAAGCGCAGGTAGTGTATTGCGATATGAAGAAGGGGCAAAGGGGTATTTTACCTTTTCAACGGTAAATTAATTACTTTCAGCCAGAAAAGTTAGGGTATTGCTACTTTTTTTGCTAATCAGCCCAAACAGCCCAAAGTCCCACACAACCCTATAAGCTAGTGTTTGGCTCTTTTTTTCTATTTTAAGGCTTATCAGCCCATTATATAGGCTCCAAACGGACCCGTATTTTGTTGGAATAACTCTATTAAAACTTTAATCTTCATAAATAATGAAATTATCTGATCTGGAGAAATATAAGCATAACTGACTCCTTTATATTGGAGAATTGTCTCTCTAACGATAAGATGCAGAAAGATGGAATGATGTGTTCAACTAGGGATCATAACCCCTTTATTTATAGAGAGTGCTTTCCTCTAATAAGCCGATCATTAGTTGGGATTAAGCTCATGATATTCTACATATTTGGTTCCTATACTTTATAAGATAAAATATTAGCTCCTTAAAATTAATATCCATAGTACTACTAATTTTTGGGCCTAAACATAAGATAACATATAATATATAATTAGGTTCAACAAATAATATATTGTGATCAATATCACATGTAGTATGAATCCATTAATCATCTATTAGTAATATTTTTAGATGTGAATTTCTAATAGTATTATTTTAGAAATTCAATTTTGAAGAACACTTGCTTTTCTTACCTACACAAATACACAATATGATTACAATAGCTATTGGCGTTATTAGAGCATCTATAATTGCTAGTGAAGCACAGCAGCCAACCGATCATTTGTCCTACTTTAATTTGATACAATTATTAATTAAGTGGTTAAAAAGTAAAAGTTGTAGTTGCGATTTAAGTATCATAAAGTGCAATGATATAGACCATTTATTTCTTTCCCAAAAAAAATGTGACACTTATTTTGAGAAAACAAAAAAAGAAAGCACGACAGATAAAATGTGATGGAGAGAATATTTGTTTGTAAAATAACATCTTTTATATAAGAGATTACTACCAGTCTACCACAGAAGCTCAATACTTAAATAAAGTTTTTTACATTCTAACAAAACGATGTCACATTTATTAAAACAACTAAAAAAGTAAAGCTCACCGAACAATTTTGTGTGCAAAATTATTAATCATTTCGGCATATCCTAGGTCTTCAATAAATTCCTTGTCAACTTGATAACATAACTAATACATTCAACCTTTCTTGATAACATAACTAGTACATTACCGTTACTTGTGGTTTCAACCGTTTTCAAACAAAAGTATGAAATTCATTTTTTCACAAAGTGAGGCTGTGTTTTCACTTTGAATGTTTCCGTCTAAATCCGTCAGAAAGAAGGTGACATTTCACTTTTTTTATACATCCATTACATCTTCATTTTTACGACGTTTAGACGGAAATCCTCAAAGTGAAAGTACATGTCTCACTTTGTGAAAAAATGAATCTCATACCATTATTTGAAAACGGCCAAAACCACGAGTACTGTTACTCTACTTTTCCCAATCTTATATTTTTCCATTGCAAATAATATTTGTGTAACGCATGCATGATAAAATTGCTTATTACACACTTTGTTACTCTATACTACATATTTTATACTACAGCTATCCGTCCCTAAAAGAGTTCTCACTTTTCTTATTGGGTGTCCAACATAAACTTATCATTTTGATAAAAGGTAACTTTTCTATAATAATATCAAAATCATCCTTACTTTTTCTTGATTTGACATAAAGTGAGACTATTAGTGGAAAATCAACTTCCTATTTTAGCTCACATAAAAACGTGCGTTTCCTAATGAAGGAACATAAGATAAGAATTATGTTTGGGATTTTAAGCTGATGGTAAGATAATGTTAATTCATCTTAATCATCTCTTTTGAACAAGATTGTACCGTTTGGCAACACTGATTTAGGTAACAGATTTATCAATCAACTTTTTCACCAAACACATAACTTTTGTTTTCGTGCACTGAATTGTGTAATAAGCAAAGAAGTAAGGTTGAAGTAACTTTTTTTACTGTATTGGTTGAAGTTACTGCACATGATCATTTAGCTATTTTACATATAATTATTTCTTTATTTTATGAATAGAATATATTTTAAAAATATTTTTTCTTAAATAAGAAAAATCAACTAATGCAACCACTTCAGCCAAAACTTCATAAATTTTAGCATAATCAGCCAAATCAGTCAATTTTCTTGCTACCAAACGGAATCTTAGAAAGTACATGAATTTTTTTGATCTATGTGTATAACAAAATATTTGTACTCCTACTTTTTTTTTTTTGCAAATGTACTCCAAATTTTATATCCAAACAAAGAGGGTTTCCTTCCTGTTTCAAAATGGCGTTTTTAAAAATGGCGTTTATAACATAGACGCCATCATGTGACATGTTTTTAAAGGAAAAAGAATAGGAAAACACTAACCTACTTGCTTTGTTCAATCAAGAAGCACCACATCAGCCGTGAGTGGATTTATACTGAAAAATTAGTAGATCCTCCGTTTTTACTATATTTTACTATATTTTCTAAAAAAGTATTGTTCAATTCATCTTATTAAAAAAATTCAAAATCTTGTTTTTAATTTTTTTACTAATAGAAACTAAAATATATATTTACGATCAAAGATATGTGTTGATAAATGTGAAATGTTGATCGTTGCAACTAAGACAAATGGAGAAAGTATACAACAATTCAACATTTCTGTCTCCACAACATATTTAAATTTACTGAAATTTAATGGATTTTAAATAAATTACACCAGACTTAAACAGAAAAGATAGTTATAAGATCAAAATTAACTTAAATAAATTAAATCAAACAACATTAGACAAAGAAAACAAATTAGTTTATATCCAAGTAAAAATATGAGTGCATGTAATGGACTTATTTTTATAAGAATCTACTTTCTAAACCAAAGTATGAAAGAGAGAGCTCCTTTAATAAAATTGAAATTAATTAAATTCGTTGAAATTGATAATATCCTGGTCATAGTAATTGAATTGCGAAAATTTATATTGAAAATATAAATTATTAGAAAAATTAAGAAAAATACTTTGTATATATGACAATTATTGTAATTTTATTTATTTTGATTATTACGAGTATGAAATACAGAGTAAAAAGTTAGAAGATAGATAAACCAAAACCAGGTTACTTTATCATCACTTTCCGCTAAAATAGCAAAAAGAAAATAATTGATCTTAACTGCAAGGTAAAACAGAAGAAGTACGGACCAGGGGCAGGGAGTACTAACCGAACTCTTTACCGATCTTAATGATTTAATTAATTGCAGAGTACAAATATTTCAGCTTCAGCCATCTTTTACTAGCTTTGAAAGTCAAAAGAAATTTTAAAAAAATGGCAAACTCGGGGTTGCAGATAATAATGGGCTGTAGTGAGAGAGAAATGGGGTTTCTGGAGAGGAGAGAGAGAGGGGGGGAATAGATGAATGGACCAGAAGAGGGTGGGCTATGAGGGGACAACAGCGTATCTGCAAAAATCCTTAAAATTCGATTCAGTCACTTTGAAAAGCAAGGAGAAAAAGAAGATGATGAGTAGTACTTCACATTATTTTATTCCTAGAGTGTATCACTTCCCAACAAGTTGTTGTAGGCCTGGGATCGGTTCGGTTCCTGTTAAAATTCGATGGAACCGTATAAAAATCGTAGGCGTTAAATTCGGTTCGGTTCTAGTTAAAAATGTAGTTGTTAAATTCGGTTCGGTTTTAGTTAAATTCGGTTCGGTTCGGTTCTTTTTTCGGTTCCTAACAAAAATTTACTATCCTCCTGAAATGAACACACTTCAGTTACATAAAAAAATTCAAATATTAAATCACGAAATTAAGACCATTACATTATAAATGCATGATATCTCAATGTTCAAAAATCCAAAGACATATCCAAGTACAACATTAAATTTAAACATAACAAAAATCTCGATTTAAAATAGGCATCAACTGTCAAGCAAAAAGGTTCAATAGCCCCAGAGTACACATCCAATAGCAGGTAGTTCAACCCCAAAATAATATTCTACTTCTAGTAATGCACAATAAGTAAAAACTACATAGTAATAAACAACGTAATCAACGGAATGTTAATTCTTTTTTGTAGTGAACTCCAATAACAAATTCAATTACAAACAAAATATATATATATATATATATATATATATATATATATATATATATAAATGGACTAAAGTATTAAAATGATAACTACTCGGATTGGCTTGGTCCACAATATATAAGGTATATTATGCAAGAATAATATTTTTGACAAGAACTTTTTGCCCGAAAGGCCGTCTGACCGCCTTCATTTGAGGTACTTCCGTGAAGATTTTTTTGATAAAGTTCTGTGAGCATGTTCTACATGAAATGTAGATTACATATACCAAATTGCAGCTTAAAATTCAATCGGGAAGTGAGTTAAATAAAATATTGAAAAAATTGCGTTTTTTCATATATTTTGGCGTAATGTTTTTCAATAATTTATTTAACTAACTTCCCGATTGCATTTTAAGCTCAAATTTGGTGGATATAATCTTTATTTAATAGAAAACAACCTCACAAAATTTCATCGAAAAATTCCACCCGGAAACACCTCAAATGAAGACTACTCATGCAGTGTATGAGAAGTTCGGTTCCTGGCCAGGAACCGGAACCGAACTGGAACCGAACCGGAACCGAACCGATGAAAGACTATAGGAACCGAACCGAAAAAAAGTGAAGTCCAAAATTATAGGAACCGAACCGAACCGGAAATTTCGGTTCGGTTCGGATCGGTTTTCCCGGTTTTCGGTTCTAAGTCCCAGCCCTAAGTTGTTGATAATAAAAGCAGAATTTTTTTTAGTAAGAGAAGAAGGAAGGAAGAAAGGCTTAATTGCGAAGTACTCCGTAGTTTTTACAGGATTTGGGTGTTTTGGGAGATCAGTTCAAAGAAGGCACAACTATTATATCCTCAAGAACACCCAATAGTTTGTTGTGTTTCTCCCCCTCCTGTGGTTGTGCTTCGCTGGTCAAACTCACTATTTTATGGTCCATTGAACAGCAAACTTGCTGTTCTTTGGCTGTACTCTTTCGTCCTCGCTCACAGGGAGGACAGTACAGGTTTCCTTGTAGAGGTGGGAAGTCGGAGTAACTTTTTTCACTCTTTCAGTCACTCCTTTCTCCTTGCAGTTTGAGTTATTTTTGCTACTCTTGAGGGACCTTCAGGCAAGCCTTGTTCTACTCCATGCTTGTTCCATTCTATGAGGTATGGATTTTTCATTTTTCTTAAACCCCAACTTTTTTTCCAGTTTCTTGAAAAAAAACTTTGGGCATAACAAACCCTGTGTTTTCACACAAAAACTGTGTTTTCCTTGAAGACTGCCATTCTATATGTTTCTTGAAAAACATTGATGGAAAAAACCTGGGTTTGCACTTTGCACCCCAAAAAAAAAAGAAAAAAGAAAAGAAAAGGTTTTTTCTTCAAGACTGCAACTTTTCCCCCAAGAAAATTAACATTCTAGTTTGCCTGATAGTAAATGGTGGGATTGGTGGCATGTTGTGTTAGGTGGTGAGTTGAGGAAGAAAAAGGTACTGAAGTGGTGGGGTGTTGTTCGTGTTGAGATGGGTCAAAAGGTGGTGGTTCAAAAGAGCCAAAGCAGACACCACATGGTGACGATGAGGTTGAATGAGCAGTTGAACAGAAAGAAAAGGTACCCGTGGATTCACAGGTATTGGCTCCCAAAGCTGTTGACCCTATGGCTTCTAGCAGCTTCCCTGGTCAGCTGGGCCATATTCAGTTACCTAGACAACGGTAACAAGGTGAGGAGGAACGAGACACTGGTGAGTATGTGTGATCAGAGGGCCAGAATGTTACAGGACCAATTCAGTGTTAGCGTTAATCACGTCCACGCCCTTGCCATCCTCGTCTCCACTTTCTATTACAACAAGAATCCATCTGCAATCGATAAGGTCAGAGTAATTTCTTAATGAATCATTGATTTGTGTTCTTATGTATGTGTATTGATGTGTAAATGTTATGCTTGAACTTTGAAGGAAACTTTTGCCGAGTATACGGCGAGAACAGCTTTTGAGAGGCCATTATTGAGTGGTGTGGCATATGCTGAGAGAGTTATGAATTTCCAGAGGGAGAACTTTGAGAAGCAGCATGGATGGACAATTAGAAAAATGGATAAAGAGCCTTCTCCCATCCGGGATGAATATGCCGCGGTCATACTCGCTCAAGAAACTGTTTCTTATCTCGAATCAATCGACATGATGTCTGGAGAGGTATTATAGCTCAGTTAAATCTCACTCTTGATTACACGCGCACACACACACACAATCAAACAAACAAATATGGAGATTCTTGAATCTTGATTGAAAACAGGAGGACCGTGAAAACATATTGAGAGCCAGGGCGACTGGGAAAGCTGTTCTGACAAGTCCCTTCAGGCTTCTTGGTTCTAACCACCTTGGCGTTGTTTTGACATTCCCTGTTTACAAATATACGCTGGGGGCTTACCCATCCCAACAAGAAAGGATTCAAGCAACTGCAGGGTATTTCTTTTATTTATGAAGATTTTTTGTAATGGTTGAGATGATTAAGTGTTTTAATGAAGGTGCTTTTTTGAGTTGTAACTGGTTGAAAGGTGCTTTTTCGTAAAATGTTTTGTTCCTTTGAAACTATGGTTAGTTGTGACTCACGCCGGGGCTATGAATAATAAATCGTTTTTTTTTTATCTAGATATCGTATGCAGGAAAGATGAGGACTACATTGGAGAGGCTATGTGATTTTAATGGTCTATCTGTCCAGGTCATATTCATAGGCTATTTATATGGATGACATGTGCTTTTTTAAGGGGTGCAATTCACATCCCTATTGGAGATGCTCTTATTACTCCGTTTTTTAGCTATGTCAATACTCCTTTTTTGGTTAACACTCGGTAAATCCCGACTTTACTGGATTAGCTTTGATCTCTAAAAAAACATCTCAAGTCTTTGAGATTGAGAAGTAAATTTGAGTCGCTCAATGCCCACCCACCTAGTGCAGCTCCGGGGAGAACCGCCGACAATCATTCAACACAATTAAGTTAATTCCTAACAAGAAGCTAACTCTCATAAGCCGCTTGAGGCGAGACAGACACCAATTTTGCAACCACTCAAGCTAACATTGGGGGCTAGAGGGTCACTATTTGAGAAAATCTTCTCACACAATTCACTTCCTTGTGATTTGATTTCAAGATCTCATACATGGGGATGCTCTCGAATGTGAAATTTAATCCACTTGAACTATTCTCAAATCTTTTTATGTAACATATTTCAGTTTATTACTCATTTACGAGAAATAATAAGTATAAATTGTCTAACACCATACATATAAATTGTCTTACATCATACATATATCATGTTACTTTATACAAATTACTATGCAAGATTGCTGTTATTTTGTTATGCAATTTGAGTTAATTACTAATGAAAAAGGAAAAAGGGAATTTTTTGATTTCCGGAATTGTGATTAAAGACGTCTTAGATCCGGAAACTCATATATGTATATTACTAAGTTACCACTCCTAACATCTAGTGTCTTCATCTCATAGTAATATGTAGAATCGATTCACACCTTCTTACAAGCTTCCTAGTTGGTCATCTATTCTTGTGATTTCCTTTCCTTCCCTCGGGCTCGCTTAACTATAGAGTTCTATAGTTAAATAATAGTCATGTCATTCTTAAAACCAATTGGTGATAAGGAAGTTGACAGATAATATTTATCACATTACTCTGTAGTGACTAAGTCATGGTAGAATTCTATGGAGCACACCCACAGTTCACTACGCTAGTGCAATAGCCTCACTACTGAGCGGTGGATGAACATAAGGGGCTACACCACATAATGATGTAGCAGGTCGATCGGTTATTCCCTAGCACCAATACATGAGCTTCAACTGTGACTTCACTATGATTCCAGTTATAGGATCAATTCGCTTTTTTACAAACTTCCCAATGGGTGACTCATTCTAGAGCTTTCCTACTGCTAGGCTCGTTTAACTACAGAGTTCCATGGTTAAACAAATGATACATCCTACATAAAACCAAATGGTGATAAGGACGTGAACACAATTTATTTAACACATTACTATATTATCATCAATTTAAGGTAAACTCACATAGGGCACAGTTCACTGCAGTAGTGCAGAGTCCTACTATTGAGCGGTGGGTACACATGAGGGGTTGCATCACATTGGAATGTTTCTGCCATACATGTGATGTTGTTTTATCAATAAATTTTGTTGTGACACCGCTCGAGGATCATTGCGCTCAATGTTCAAAAAATCGGCCTAGTCGGACTGATTAATTGACTTAGTCGGCCTAGTCGACCGTAACTGTAGAGGACTAATCGACCTAGTCGCCAAAAAATCGGTCCAGTCGGCAAAAAATCGGCCTATTCGGCCGTCGAGGCGTTAGGCGTCCCTCAACCGCCCGCCTAGCGCCTAGCGAGTTTTAGAACAATGATTGCGCTTACTGTTACACTAAAAGCAATTGCTGATATTGTAGCACACCTTCCCCCCTATAGAACATGAAAAGCGCCACAATATGATTACACCACCAAGCTCACAGAATTGCTGACACCACATCTTCGTGGCACAACACCATCATATCTGTAGTTAGTATCTGAATCAAAGGGTGGTGTATGCTAGCCCCTATAAGACTAACATGACCTATAACCTCTGACGCCACAATGACAAACAACCATAGTGACTCCTGCTCCAGTTACATAAGGTGGTGCAGTGACCCACTTCCCTAGTCATCCAGTCAGTGGCTAGAATGCCCATCTCTAGTAAGATACAATTACCAACCAAGTGACCTAATTACAAAACCATTTCCACACACTGAAAATGCCGCCACATCACCAATGTCGACTCCATGTCCAGGCCCAGCCAAACCAAGTTTGGTGCTCCTCATGGTTGACATCGTCTAGTGCCTCCTCTTCTCTTAGCTAGTTGGCATAGTCACCACTTACCTTTCCACCAGAGCCCCATGCCCCTGCCTCCCTAATCCCCTCACCACCGCTACCCACCACTCCCCAACCTTCGCACCATCGTCATTAGCCCACCTCTGCTCCACCGTCAGACCTCACCCCATAAATCAGTCGCCACACAATCCAATCATTAGTACAACCCTACTCACAGTTCCAAATCCCATTTATTGATATGCTGGAATGACGACTTAAGCCGAGAACAACAGCAATGATGGCGAAGTGTGACAATGGCCCAACCCTCGGCTAGTAGCATCACCATACTCATCGTCATAAATCTGAACCACCGCAGTCGTCGCCATTGCCCTTGACCAGTTGGTATCGCCACTGCACCTTCACAGATCTGTACCACTGTGGTTGTCCCCTTCTCACTCAGCCATTAGGCATTGTCACCATGACCCTTAGCCAGTAGGAATCACCGCCACCCCCGTCTTCCAGTTGAACCTTTAGATGTCGCCTCACTATAGCTGGGACATTAGCTCTCCAACGCCTGCCACCCCTATCCATAGTTCTCCGGCCATTGCCCTCGCCATGCGCCCGCCCCATCCCAGATCAAACAGAAATCCAACGGATCAATAATGAAGGAGAAGATGAGTAAGGCGAAGAAGAAGAGTACAAGCCTAGAGTCGACAACATGGGTTGGTTGTGACGTCAACGACATCGAAAATTCAATCAGTTGGGATCGATGGGATTTGAAGAGGTTGGTTGAAGGGTAGAAATGGGAGGACGTATGAGCAAGCGGAGGCATGGCAATATAGTCAATTTAGTTTCAATTTCCTCTTTTTTTTTTATCAAAAGGAGAAGGTAATCTTATATTTGTCAATTGTAAGGTCATAAATAATATTTGTGTCATTCTTGCATGGTAAAATCGCTACACACTTTGTTACTCTGTGCTACATACGTAGTATTTTATACCACCCTCGTCCACAAAACAATTCCTTACTTTTCTTATTTGAGTGTTCCAAAATAAGTTTCTCATTTCCATAAAAAGTAACTTTTCAATAACAAATACGGAGTATGTAGTATCAAATTTACTCTTACTTTTACTTGATTTGACATAAAGTATGAGCATTATTGAAAAATCAACTTTCCATTTTAACTCATATAAAAATGTGTGAAAACCAAAGTGAGAAGTTATTTCCGGACGAAGGAAGATAAGATATGATAAATGTTTGAGATTTTATGCTGATAGAAAGATACTGTTAAATTCATCTTAATCGCCTCTTTTGAATAAGATTGTTAAAGTACCGAATTTTTTCGTTGCTAAACAAAACCGAATAAAAATATGTATGTGTATAACAAAATATTTGTACTCCAAACAAAGAGCTTTCTTTTTTCTTTTTCAAAAGGGAAATTTATCGGAATATGACTAAAACTCAATGAGTTTCTCAATCTATAACCTAACTAGTTTTTATACCTTTGTATGACTGAAAATCCAAAAACAAATAGAAATTTCGTTTCTATTTAAATGTTTAATGACAAAAATACCCTAATTTAAAATATGTGCATTGTGCACTAATTTCGTCCAATTAAAATTATTGCACTTTATATTGACGTTAATGCACAACATTAATGCATAACATAAATGCACGACATTTCTACACATTCAGTAATAATCATTGCACTTCCGTCAAAATTAGTTCTCTTCACATTCACTTTAGGAAATTATTTTTATTTTTTATTTTTTCGATTTAATGATTTTATTATTTCACATCTAATTAAGTATATTGTATTTCAATGCTCAACAAACTTTCTCAATGCACTCATTCATTGCCATGTACAATATTATTAATTGTCATATTCATTGCCTATACTCAACAGTCAATACTTATTGATATGTTCAATGCCAATGTTCAATGTCAATGTTCAATGTCCACAAACCCTAATTTTTTTATTAAACAGAACAGAAAATTACTGGCTTGTCAATTACCGGCCGCACTACCGATCCCAAATTTCATCTATGCCGTCCATAACACATCTCCATGATTTCGTGGGTATCATATGACTATTCCAAATTATCAAGCTTTATGAATTGATTTCTGTTCCTCCGAAATAGAATTCCATCAACAACAGGCAACAACACAACTTCGGTGTGGCGAAATTCAAATGAATTCTAATAAAACCAAAACGTATTCTGACACGATACGGATGAAAAGCCAATCTCCTTTCTATCCTAATAAATGGTGGGATGAGATAAAATCAAGTAGAATTACTTTTCAGTCAAAATTCTATCAAAACGAGTGGTGCCAGAGACAAACGGCGGACACGACTCTATCCACACAGCAACTTTCTCCAGCGATAACAATGGCTACTTCTACTTATGCGGAGAATCATTGAAGCGACCCAGCAATGAAGTGCAGTGCAGTAAACTTTCAATCGGATATACTGGACGGCGGCGGACATCGAGCTATGGGGCGGCGGCGCACGGCAGGGGCGGCGGCGCGCTGCAGGGGCGTGCGGCTGTAGCCGGGTGGATCTATGGAGGTGGAAGAATGGAAACTAGGGTTGGAGAAAAGAGTAGGAGCCTAGGGTTTTATAGATATAACCTAAAGGGTATATTTGTCCACCTAAATGATTTATTTATTTCTTTATTACGAATTTTAATTAAATATTATGAATTTTAATATTATTTTGGTAAAAAAACTAGTTAGGTCATAGATTGGAAAAGTGAAGAAGTTTTAGTCATACCTAGGATAATTATCTCTTTTCAAAATGGCTTTTTTGAGTGTTGTGCTTGGCCGTTTCCTATTTGGTGTACATTTGTGCAGCCTAGACGCCCATCATGTGACATGTTTTTAAAGGACAAAGAATCGGAAAACACTAACCTACTTGCTTTCTTCAACCAATAAGCACCACCGTGAGTAAATTCATAATGAAAAATTAGTATACAATAATTCACTAGCTTGTGTTTCTCTAGTTTGATCTATCTCCACAAGATATTTAAATTTAACGAAATTAAATCGATTTTAAATAATTAGATCAGAATTAAACATAAAAGATATACTTCATCCATTCTAAAATTAACTTCTCATTCACTATTTGTATGACCAACTTAAACTACTCTTACGTTTGCTTTATATATCATTCTTTTTTATTAAATTTACATTTTTTATCAAACTTTGTAGCGATTTTAATGTAGTTTCTAAACATATAAATTTTATTTACTAGAAATAATCTGAGTGTGAACAGAGATCAAATTACTTTGTTGTCAGTCAAGCATCGTAATATGAAATAAGAAGTTGTTTCAGGGACGGAGGTAATATATAAGATCAAAATAAACTTAAATAAATCAAATCGGACAATATTAAACTTAGGAAAATATTACCCGAAATA